TAGCATTTCCAAACCTATAGTCCCCAGATATGTGCTTTCTTGTGTTTTACAAAACATGCTTACATTTTACCTATACATAAAAGCATTATTTTCTATCCATACCCTGGCTCGATGTTTATTTCTGCTGATTTTAATGTACTTCCTAATGAGAGCCACCATGTTATAGTAAAGAGAAAACCAACCTCAGATTCAGGAATAGCTGTGTTCAAGCCCCACTTCTGACACACACCAGCTGTTTGGCCTTTGGCAAATCATTTAAACTCTCAGGACCCCCAAGCAATTCTTTTAAGAATATAAGTTGCAGAACAGTTTTGATACGATTTGAAAGAGGAAGTTTCCTTGCCAAGAGTTCCCTCCACCAATTAACTCATAGATCTACACCCCTACCCCTACTCCCTAAAAATGTTCCATCCATGAGTCTGTGAAAAATGCTCTTCATATTACATTGAATGGGTGGACTTGTGTTCATCATGGGTCATTTTAATATGGTATTTAGTACACAACCATAGACAATTATGTACTTTTGAAATACTTTTTTTATTGCAATGGTGATGAAACTCTTGAAGCCTTTGGGTTACCCCATTAGTTGTGAGAAAACTTAAGTATACATTCTTGATGGAGAAAGAAAGAGAGTTGAAGGGGTATTAGAAATGCTTTTGGTCCAGTACAGCTATAACTTCATAAATTGTATGTTCCCTATCTAACTTCTATTGCTAAAAGTGGACAGTTTTCTTCCGTGACATTTTGTTGAGTCCACCTCTCTTCTAAAGTCAAATACTGTCAACTGAGACAGTACTTCATTATAAGTCTTCTGAATAGTAATGAATTCCCACTGGAAATCTTGGGTTTTGCCTGGACAATATTTCCTTTCCACTTTCCACTGACATTACAATATCATCGAAAAGGGAAGGTTTCATTCAAACTAATGATGGTAGGACTAGCCTGGCCAGCAAATAACATTCCTGAAGCCAAGTCACAGTATTGAACACGCAGAGAGCTACTTTTTTTTTCTTTTTGGAAAAGAACCCAAAGTAGTATTCTTTCAGGAAGCATAAATTGTATTGCTGGAAGTAATAGCAATCTCTTTAACAATATCCCTAAGGAATTACTCCCATCTATTTTGTTAAGTGCTGTTTTTATGGAGCTGTACAGTGTACCTATTCCCAGACAACATGGACTGGAGCTCTCCAATTGCAGAGAGGTCAGTCATGCACAGCTGGTGGAAGTGAAGACCCTAATAAGGAAAAGCTCCTTTTTGTCATCGTGGCTATGTGGCCCCAATGCCATTATCAGGAAACATCATTTTATTGGCCTGTCTTTCCTAACAAAAGAATTAATTGTAATAACTGCATTCTCTGAGCGGTTTCTACTCATGGTCTTCAACTCACTTCAATTAAACAAGAGTTTAAAAGTGTTTATGAAGATCTTACTATGTACTATGCTATGCACTAAAGGAGAAACAACGTGTGAATAGTGGAATAAGTCAGCCTGGATTTAGAGTCAGGAACTTGAGTTCAAATCTCACATCTCACAATCCCCTGGGACTTAATTTCTTCATCTGTAAAATGAGGAGGTCGTACATGATCTTCTCTAATGCTCCTCGCAGCACTAAATCCATGATTCTAGATTGCAACCCCAGTGCCAAAGCCTATTGTATGCACTCTCTCCTAATTGGTTAAGATCAGTGTCCCACACCTGCTTGAGAGGCAGGCCAGAGTTGGCAGGAACAAGAGAAAGCTTCAGGCTCTTCAGTCTTCTTTGAGTTCTCTTCAAGTTTCCAGTCTGTCCAAAGGAACTGAAGAGCTCTCCTTTTTCCTACTCTCCTTAACTCTCCCTCACCCCTCAAGTATGCCTGGGAGATTGATCTCTACCAATAAGGAGAGAGTTCAATCCCAGTGGGCTTTGGAACTGGTGTTACACTATTATCCTGAGAAACATTGCCTACTATCTGATTCTCAAATGGTCATTAGAAAGTGAAAGAAAAGACCCTAGTCAATTGTTTTGAATTATTATTAGACCAGTTCTACTTGGAAATATTAGAGCAGAGTAGAATTTGGGAACATTGTGGGTAACATACTGGTCATTGGTCATCACAGATGGAAGAAATTAACATGTGGAGAAAATAGAGCTAACAGAATAAGGTTAAACAGTAAATCAGCCAAAAAATATTTTTCAAGTAAATACTATGTGCCAAGCACTGTGCTAAAAACTAGGGGTACAAAGAAAGGCAAAAGACAGTTCCTGTCTTCAAAGAGCTCACAATCTAATGAGGAAATACCATGTAAACAAGCATGTACAAACAAGATATAGATATATAGATACAAATATAGAAAGATAAACAGGAAATAATCAGCAGAAGGAAGGCACTAGAATTAAGAGAGATTGAGAAAGACTTCCTATAGAAGGTGGGATGTTAGCTGGGACTTGAAGGAAGCCAGGAGGTGGAGATGAAAGGGGAGCATTCCACCCGTGAAGAACAGCCAGTGAAAATGTACTGGGGGTAGGGTTGGGAGTAGAAGGTACAAGAATATAGGAAAGGTGGAGCAAGGGACTAGGTTATGAAAGGCTTCAAATACCAACCAGGAGGTAATTGGGAGATGCTAGAGTTTGTAGAGTAGGAGGCATGACATGGTCAAACCTGTGCCTTAGGAAAATCACTTTGACAGCTGAGTAGAGGATAGACTTGTAATGAGGAGAGATTTGTGGCAGGCAGACCAACCAGCAGACTACTGCAATAAGCCACACATGCAGAGATAAGGGTCTGCACCAGGGTAGTGGCAGTATCAGAAGAAAGAAGGCGGCATGTTCAAAAGATTTTATAAAGGCAAAATCAACATGGTTGGCAACAGGAAATGGAGAGGGTGAGAAAGAAAGAGGACTAGATTTCAAACCTAGGATACTAATAAAATGGTGGTACCCTCAAGAGTAATAGGGAAGTTTGGAAGGCAGTGGGGAGGGAGGGAAAAAGCATTATATAGAATGCCTAATATTTTTCATTATTCATATTTCATTATTCATTATTCACAGTGTCAGGCACTGTGCTAATTGATTTTTAAAATATTTCATTTGATCTTCATAAACTGTGAGGTAGCTGTTCTTGTTATTCCTGTTTTACATTTGAGGAAACTGAGGTAAACAGAAGTTAAGCCTCTTGCCTAGGATTACACAGCTAGTAAGTAAGTGTCTGAGGCCATATTTGAACTTGGGTTTCCTTGACACCAGGTCCAGAATTCTATGCAGTATACTACCAGCTGCATCCAAATGTTTTGAAGAATACTAGGGGGAAATATGTTCAGTTTAAGATGTTTATAGGACGTAGAGTTCTAGATGTCTATTAGGCAATTAGGATGTAAGCTCCTTGAGGGCAAGGACAGCTTTTTGGTTTGCTGATTTGTTTTGACTTTTTTTATGTCCTCAGTGCTTAGCACAGTGTCTGGCGTATTTAGTAGGTGCTTAATAAATGTTCATTGACTGACAGATGAGAGACTGGAGATTAGCAGAGAGGATAGGGAGGTAGAAATATGCCTTCTAGAAAGAAAGATAAGCTAATAAACTAGGATTTTCTGACAAAACCACAGAGTTGTCAGAAAGCTGTCTTCCAGCATTTGAAGTAATGTCATTGAAAAGGGAATTAGATCAACTTGACTCCAGAAGGAAGATTTCATAGTAATGAGTGAAAGCAGCAAATTTACGCTTGAAATCAAGGGGAAAAGAAGCTTGTGAACAATTAGAGCTGTCCAAAAGTAGAATGGTTTGCCTCTGGGAGGTGATGTGTTCCCCTTCTTTGGAGGTCTCTAAGCAAAGGCTAGATGGTCACTTCAGATGAATTGTAAAGAAGATTCTTAATCCCATATGGATTAGCCTATGTGGTCTCTGGGGTCTCACATCTTTGGGATTTCATGATTCTGCAATACCCTTATCTAGCTTCCATCTTCTACCAAACCATTTCGTGGTACAGATTATATATAAACATTATATACCAAAGAGGTCCTAGCCAGCAATATCATATTAATAATTAAAAGATTAGCAGATTTTTAATGGAGAGAATGAAAAGATTGACTGACTGATTAGTACTAGGGTGGGAAGAGATTAGAATTGGAGATTTACATTTACTTACTGAGATAGTCATTTTTTCTGAGGAAATCATCTGCCAAGGAAGAAGATGCAGGTTAAATGAAAAGGGAGATCAAGTCCTATGAAACTGCTGATTAAAGCATCAGTTGAAAGATGACTGGTGTGATACTCTGAATTCCAGTCCAGGGTGTGTAAGCTAGAGTTGCTACAGGAATTGCAACTGATGACTCAGTTGGGAGTAGGATTAGCCAACTGACAATAAATAAAAAGGAGGTCTTGACAATGTGCAGAATGCTAAGCCTCTTTCAAGTCAGTTCAATCCAAATTCAACAAAAAATGTATCAAGGACCTACTATGCACAAGACACTATTCTGGGCAATAGGGGAAAAAATGCAAAACAATCCCTTCTTTGTAGGAATATACAAGAATTCCTCTCCTCTCCTTTTTTAATCAAGGATCCAGCATGTCCAGTAATAAGCATAACCTAGGTAATATGGAAAAGAAGACAGAAATAACAACTGGAAGAATCATGGATAGCCACAAATTGACTACATCAGGATGTTTTGGCTGAGGGAAATGCAGTTATAAACAGAATGAAGCCATCCAAATGGACTAAATTTTCAACATACCTTAGACTTTTTTGATCATGAAAAATATATCAGATGCATATATACACGTTAGCCAAAAAGACATTTCCTAGTGCTTTGTGTCGGGGGCCTTCAAAAAAGGCACATCTTATCTTGAATTAACTCTCAGAATATTCAATAAAGCAATGGCTTTTTCTCCTCTTCTCATTCCCATCCCCTGCCCCCAGTAGAAGTGTCTTAGGTAAAAATAATGCAAAACCAAAAGTCCAAAGATTGCTTTTTTTACTTCTACAACAGACTGGTAAGCACTACAGGTAATGGCCTGACATGCAACCAATCCACACTTCTCATCTTATGTGATATTTGTCCACATTTTCCTATAAATCTTCCATATCCTACTCCCCCAACTTAGGTGCTAAGGGTCTTCCTCTGAATTCCTTGAAATTGTGTAGATATTGATAGAATATAAAGACTGTCTGTCAAGCATCTCTCATTCTCACTTCATGATTGGCTCATCACTTTTTCCTGAGGATTGTCCTTCTGATAATATCCTTTTATTCACTTCTCCCCAGTTGCAACCTCCTTCCACCCATGTGCCTCTCCATTTCCCTCTGCAACTTTAATTCTTCAGAGACTGTAGCATTCTTCGACTCAAGGGCAGACATCATCACCAGATGAATCTTGGTATTAAAAACATAAAAACTTTGTTTTCTATGGAAACTTGGGGTCTTGAATAGCACTGTACAATTTCCAAAGGCAAACCAGTCCATCTTTCTCCTCCAATTCTGTTTTGGGCCAAGTTCACTGTCCTTTAATTGTGACTGTCCAGTATATATGGGGTGTCCATTCAACTTCACCTCAGTCTAGGCAACACGCATGTTTGATCCACTTGGTTTTAGCTGTGTGGATAGTTAGGGTTAGAGTTGTAACTTCCTTTTGTCTTCTGGTTTGATTATTTCTTTTTAGTTTTATTGATATGTTTTTATATTGCTAACATAATTACCAAGTTTAATTTTTACATTATTGACATTTACAAATTACTCTTATACTCCCAATTTATGAAAGATCAATTGTAATGATGTTAAAACAGTTAAGTAAAACTAATAATGCACTGACCATTTGAAAGTACATACATCATTTCACATTTATAAGACCCTCCCATCTCTCTTTTTTAATGAAAAATCTATTTTCTCTCCCACCACCAGCTCCCCTGAGGGAAAAAAAAGAAAAAGAAATTTCTTTTAACGAATATGAATAGTCAAGCAAAACAAATTCCCTCAATACCTTATATAAAAATATTTATGTCTCATTCTACACCCTAAATCTGTCATGTTTCAGTAATGGATCACATGTTACATCACTGGTCCTCTGCAATCAAGAATGGTCAATGTATTTATCAGAAGTTTTACAACTTTAGAAGTTGTTTTTTTTTTTACATTGCTGTCTTATTGTATAAATTATTCTCTTGTTTCTGGTCATTTCATTATTCATCAGTTTATCAAAGTCCTTAAAACTGTCCATTTATATAGTATTAATGTTATAGTAGAAATTGTTCTATCTCTGCTCACTTCTCTCTGTATCAGTTCTCTCCATATCAGAAGTAGTTCCAAAGAGTTGAAATGATCCCTTTCCTCCTTTCTTACAGGACAATAGTCCTCATGCTATTAAATATTTAACACCAAGCTCTCTGAACTTTTAATTTTAATCTTCACTATTATATTTTTCCATAATTTTATTAAGTCTAGACAACCATCAAACATCCAAGGTATTAGTAACCACACTGAAAATTTAACAACAAGCTTCAGCAGACACCTGGAGGTACAGTTAAGATATTGAATGAATCAGGATACAAAAATATTTGAACAGACAGATTAGATAGATAGATGGATAGATAGATTGATAGATAGATGGATAGATATAGATATGTGTATGTAAACATATATTTTTAACCTTGGATTACAAAATATGAGGAAAAAAAGATGATAGAGACATGGATATCTGAAAAATCACTGGAGATTTAGTGAACTGTAAGGTTATTATAAGTAATCAATGTGATATGGCAATTGAATAAGCTAATACAAACTTGGGTTGCATTAAGAACAGCACAGTAGGCAAGATTAGGGAAGTGATGGTCTGGCTTTAATCTGTTTTGGCCTGACCATATCTGAAGTTGGAGGTTCATTCAATTCTGAGTGCCACATTTTAGGAAGATTATTAATAAACAGAAAAGGAACCTGAAGATGGTGGCAAAGATGATGAAGTGAGTTTAGATCAATCATACCAGGCCAATTGAAGGAACTAGGGATGTTTAACTCAATGAAGAGATAACTAGTGAAGTTTGGGAGGCTCTTAAGGAAAATATTAGAGATAAAAGGTCTCTTCGGCTTTCTACCAAACTGAAGGTCTACAGAGCCATTATGCTGACCTCAGTGTTCTATATCTGTGAAACCCAGACAGTATACTAGCACCATGCCAGGAAACTGACTTGCTTCCATTTGAATTGTCTTAGGAAGATTCTGAAGATCACTCTCAAGGTCTCTCTAAAGAACTTTGGAATCAATGGTGAAACAAGGGAGACACTGGCACAGGATCGCCCATCATGGTACGCCCGCATCAAGGAAGGCTCTGTACTTTATGAACAAAGCAGAATTGCAATAGCTCAAAAGAAATTTAAGATGCACAAATTTAGAGACATCTCCACCCTAAATGTTCATGTGGACTATTTGCGCCTGACCTGTGGTGAGCCTTCTGAGCTCGTATTGGTCTAATCAGCCACAGTTTGTCACACTGGACCTTGACCCCAACATAGTGATGTCATTTTGGTCTTCTTAGAGAACAAAAGACAACCACCAGACTATCAGAACCAGTGGGGTGAATGATATCTGTTCATTTGAAAGTCTATCACATGCAAGAGATATCAGACTTGTTCAGCTTTGCCAGAACAGGTGTAATGAGGAGTAATGGGTGGAAGATGAAAAGCAAATTTAGATTTAATATTTTAAAAAAACTTCTTAATAGAGCTACCCAAAATTTTAACAGGCTATTACGGGGATGGGGAACCTGTGGCCCTCTAGGTCCTCAAGTGTGGCCTTTGACTGAATCCAAGGCCACACTTGAGGACCTAGGGCCACAGGTGGCCTCGGGGCCACAAGTTCCCCACCCCTGGGCCTATATAAATTTAGATAATTCATTCAGGAACAAAAACCGTTATTTAACCTTATTACTCAGCTGTTCCTTTTCAATCATAAACATTTTAGCACTCCATTAATGTCCTGCTCTGATGGCTCAGCATGGCATAGAGATGACCTTGGATTCTTCAAGATCATTCCAACAAAACAAGCTGGAAAGGTTTTGAGTGTGAGTCCAGTTGATGGACTGTGTCTGAAATCAAGGACAAGTCTAATTAAGTTTGGAGAACTTTATCAGTAGGACATTGGGCCTCTTGGTAACAAATCTTTAGGCCATGGAAATTCATAAAGACTGAGGTATGGAGCAGGTGGGATGTGATTCTGTGGGATCAATATGCACACCAGTGAAATCATAGTAATTTTGATGTACTGAATTATGAGAATCTGAACCCTGAATCTTGTTGTACCTGTGCATTGAAGCTCGCTCTCTTTCCACCTGTATATTGAATCTTGCATATTTAGAGATGGTGCTGTTGACTATGATTCTCTAAGTCTATGAAAGAGTGGCTCAGGTATTAGACACTGCTCAGACAATCTATCACTGTTGGGATCAATCCCTCTTTCATGTCAAGCTGTCCAGTTTCATCACTGAAGATTGAATCACTTCATTTCTGATTTACTGGGGAGCAATACAGCAAAGAAGACAACGTGGCTTATGGCAGTCAACGACTCCCTGGAATCCTCAGAATTCTGACTCATCAGCGAAGTCAAGACCAGCTCTAGATTTTAATGGAAGTAGTAGGAACTCATAGAACAAAGCAATTGTTTCTGAGCATATATCTAGTAAATGTGCTACTTTGTTAATGAAATTTCTCATTTGGTTTATAACATACTCTAGAAAGGGAACTAGGAGTAGGCAAAGTAGGCGATTACTTAGGAAGCAACATGCAGACGGAGACAGATAAGAGTAGGAGCACCAAGGATCATTTTAATAACAACATCTTTAATGTTAGAGAGCCTACCTATTTCGCACTCTATCGCTGGCTATTATTATCGTGAAGTTTCAAAGCCTCCAATTGACAGAAATATACAGCAGATGTCATTTTGAAACTTTTCCTGGAATGCTTAGAGGCCATTTATGCTGAGTCTGGGATGCAAAGAGATTTCTATGCCTGACAAACACTTATGGCAATATCTCTGCTGAGAAAGGTAGCATGTATAATGGGGAATGCACTGGCCCAATTTCATTTTTGTCATCTGTAAAATCTGAGGATTGGATAAAATTATCTAAAAATTCCCTTCTAACTCTAAATTTCAATATAGAATTGATACATAGAAAGTTCCCAAATATCATACTGTATTTTTTTAATGATTTAGAGATACATCACAGTTCCCCTTATTAGATACGAGTCATGGTAGTATTATACTTAGAAGAATGATTCAAAGATCATCTTGCCAAGTTCCACACGTCCAGGCAGCACTAAAATCTGCCTCCACAATGGAACCCAAGAAGAGCAGAAAAATAGGAAGGTGCTGAATACATCCTAGTGTCTACTCAGGTGGTGTCTACCAGCTGTGACCTGAATGAGAAAAAGGCTCTAGTCAACTGACTTTTCTTTTTCTTCCTATGAAAGCTAAACAGATAACTGGATATAAAACAAGGTGGAGGCTACTGACTCCTACAGCAGGACAATGAAAAGAAGTGAACAGTATATGAACTCTTACAAAAGAGAAGCCCAGCTTCCAAGTGCTTGTGGTTTCCATTGGCCCTAATACCCTTTCTCGATCAGAGCCCTTTACTCTCACTCACTGTTTTTTTCATGGCCCACTTCCCATTGGACAAATCACCATTTCCCCAGTATTCTAACCACTTACTAGCCCATATAAACAGAAGTGAGGAGGGTGAGACAGTAGTCTCTTTCCCACAGTTCTACCAGTCACATGTGTTTAGTGTATCCACTCTCTCCATAATGGAAAAGGCCATTTCTATCAGAACCATGGGTTAATGTATTTCCTTCCTTCAGTCCCCACCCCCACACACTAACCAGCCCCTCTGGGGGAAAAGCTTTCATCTTATCAGAGCCCCATACTTTTTGGATAATGCAGCGATGTTTTATTGTTGTTGCTAATATGCACATATGGCCATAGATGGCACAACAGCAATAGAGCTGCAACGGGTCTACCCTCTCAGACACATGTATGTTGCCCAGAGTAAACAGCATCTTCCTCTAAGCAGCTGCAAAAGAAAAGGTCTGGAATGCTGCTTCTAGTTCCAAGAGAAGGAAGTTGAAAGACATTTGCTTCTGCTGTAAAATATTTTGTTTTAAGTCTTCTTTAAAGTCCACTGTGGCTAAAATGACTACATCCCAACAGTTTGCCAGAAACCTGAGATGAGTTTCAGTCATTCTGAGTTTAAGAAGGTGACAAACTGTTAACAAATGAAAAGTAAAGGCTTAATAATGAGTCCCCAGTAGGATTAGCATGGAAAATATGTTTTTCTGGTTAAATCTTTGTCTCAGCTACTCCTCCACTCATGTCAACTGTGCCTCATAGTACAAAAACTTTGACCAGAGCACTAATCCATATTTATTCTATACTCTTAAGTTGTGTTGAAAGCAACTCAATTTACTAATCACTTGTTACACTCCTCCAGGCCTAATACCACTTTCCTCACACAGCCAGAACACTTACTTTGAGGGGCTCTGAATCAGAGTTAGACAGTCTCACAAACCATCCATTTCTATCCATCCCTTCAAATGTTTCCTTTCTTGGTCCTGTGTCAAAGAGAGAGAAAGACAAAATGAATAGACCATGTAGAATGTAACCTCTTTGCATATGAATGTTATTTTTAAATCGTTAAGTTTACCACCTTGCCAAACATTGACTTTATCCTCTTCAGTCATGAAAATATTTCATTGCACAAAAGTAGAACATTCTGATTGTTGAGAATTAACAGCTATTTTGAAAACACAGTGGAAAAATCTAAACGGGATGACAAAGTATACTTTAGACAGATTTTCCAAAGAGCCAAATAAATTCAGTTCTTTCAAATAAACTAGAAAAATCTTATAGCGCAGTGACTTGCCAAAGTTATCAAGGTTGCTTCCTACTACCCAGAGGGTTGGGCAGAAGGAAGTGGCAAAGGGGTGAAAGGAGATGCCATTTAACTGCAGAGACAATAGGACATGGGGGGGGGAGCAAAAAGACCTAACAATTGAATCCCCTGCCAACCTCCAAAGGTGATATTACACCTTTCTGTAGAGATAATGATGTCCCTTAGATTACTACACTGTGAGCAAAACATTTCTGTTATACTTTAATGAGGTAAACCAACAATGCTGATTCTTTGGCATTCCCAGCAAGCATGCTTATGGTTTCTTGTCTGTAAACTAAAAGTGTTTCCAAAAGGAATTTTATCGTCCAAAGTATCAGGTCATACCATATCTCAAGTTGTGGGTATGAAGCAAAACCCATTCATTATCTTCAAGGGGCCAAGAAAAGAAAATATTATAGGTAGGAACTTTGAAAGATGAATGTGAAAAGCTTAAGTGTCATAAATTTGCTCCATGTGCCAGAAGAGTCTGAACTCTCCATTTTGACTAAATCATATCTAATGCAAGCAGATTTAGTCTTTTCTTGTTCCTCATATTCCAATCAAACCATTTCAATAGAAATTAAATCTTGCACCAGCCCCGTTACCTCCTCTGGCAGCTCATATTAAAACAACAAAACATTGAATGACGGATATGTACAAGAAGCATGAATATGAATAGAATGATGTCATCTGGAAAAGCTACTGCCCCCCGCCCCCCAATGAAGCTAAGCTTACATACCAGGAGATTTAATTATTGCTTTTTTTCCCTGGCATCTCTAAACCTGGAAATATTGACAATAATATGGGTTCACCTTTTAGTAGTGGAAATTACTATCAGGAATCCTGTGCCTCTCTGCATCTTGGTGAGAACTGGTTTATCAGATGCTCTCTTCTCTTTGATGAACAATAACAAACTGACTATCCAGGAATAAAAATGAGAGAGCTAATATCACTGTAGCATATTATATGTCACTGAAAAAAATTGAGTTCCTTCACCAATTCCCACTTTTCTCCTCCTCCTCATCTCATACCATTCAGATGCCTTCTGACACTCTCTCCTTCATTCCTGTGTCACAAGAAGGTGGCCCTTCTCCTTGCCAGGACAAATCCTTCCAGATGGACAAATTACTTAATTCCATCTAGATTTCTCCAAGAGATTACCTGCATTCTCTATCATCCCCACTCTCTCTGGATTCGGTGCTCACCTATTTTTAGTTTTTCTCCTTCTACTGGCTACTTACCTATTGACTTTAAAGATGTTCATATCTCCCCTGCCCTCAAAAATCCGTCACTTGACCCATCCATTCCTGTTAGTTCTCACCTTGCCTTCCTCCTCCCTTTTGTGACTATGTTCCTTGAGAAAGCTGACTCTAATAAATGTCTCAACTTATTTTCCTCTCATTCTTTTCTTAACTCTATACAGTCTGCCTTCCAATACAGTCTGCCTTCCAACCTTATCTTTATACCAAAACTCATCCCTCCAAAATTACTAATGACTTCTTACAGGCCAAATTTAGTGGCCTTTTCTCAATCCTCATTCTTCTTGACCTCTTTGCAAACTTTGATACTATTGATCACTCTCATCTCCCTGATGTTCTCTTTCCTGCTACTCTATCCTAATTCTCCTCCTACCTGACTGTTCCCTCTCAGTCTCAGTACCCTTCAATGGATCTTTATCTAGGTCATGCTTTCTGATGGTGGATATCTTCCCAGGGCTCAGTTCTTGGCCATCTTCTCCTCTCCTGCTATATTCTCTCCCTTGATGATTTCAGCTCTTCCCATGGATTCAATTAGCATATCTAAGCAGATGATTCTCAAATCGATGTATCCAGTCCTAACCAGTTCAACATCTCCAACTGCCTATTGGGCATTTACAATTAGATGACACAAGAATCTTATAGGGAAGTTAGGAAATGGAAACAATTTTGGGGAGGGGGAAAGACAATGAGTTCAGTTTCAGATGTATTAAGTTTTACTTTCAATGGTACCACCTCCCAGTCATCCAGGCTTGCAACCTAAATGTCATTCTTGACACCTGACTCCTTCTCCATCCTATTGTCAAGTTCATCATCACATCTCTCCTAAGTGCACTTTTCTTTCCTCTGACACTGACACTACATTTTCATTGCTGTAGGGAACCCCAAAGTGAGGACACTTTACCCATGCAGGTCAGCACCCTCTCTGTACAGTTGTGTTTTAGGATTGCCTAGAGCATGAGAGGATAAATGACTTGCCCAGGGTCACACAACCGGTATGTGTCAGAGAAGAGGCTGAGTTTGAAGCCAGGTCTTCCTGGCTTTGAGCAGGGAGGTAGTTCAAGTATTACTAGCCCCATTTTACAGATTGGAAAACTGAGGCTTGGAGAAGTTAAGTCATTTATCCCTGGTCAAAGGAGCCAAGTTTGAATCTCAAATCTGCTACTCTATTACCTTTGACAATTTTATTGTAATATTAGTATTACAATATAATATACTATAAAGTATCCTGGATTTGGAGTCAGAAGACCTGGGGTTGGCTCTTTTTTTCTTCCATTTACTATCTGGGTGACTTTGAGCAAGTAACTTAACCCCTCTTGGACTCAGTTTCTTCATTTGTAAAATGAAGGGGTTTGATTAGATGACCTCCAAGGTTTTTTTCCAGCTCCAGATCTATAATCTTTTAAATTCACATCCACAGTCATACCCACACCCATACCCATAGCCCCCCATATATACCCCCCACACCCATACTTACCTCCCCACACACATACACACAGGACTGAGAGTTAATGCTCAGCCATTTCATTTCATGGAAGAAGAGTCAGATAGGGATACACACAGTGCCTGGCACATAGGTACTTGATAAATATGTTTTATTATTTGTTCATATTCAGGTAGGGTGCTCTGTAAGGGTTTCTCTCCTCTGCCCCTCTCACCACGTAGAAAGAGAAGAGAGAGAGACAGAATTAGATAATTTTTCATAGAAATAACCAATAATAAGTCAAGAGGTGTTTCCACAAGGCTAACAAGTGACTTTTGAATTTTTGTCTCTGTCCTGGCCTTGTGTTCCATTCAACAAAAGTCTACCTTCAGTTTTTGTAAATATTATCACCAAAGTGCAAATTCCATTACTTAAATTTGACCTTAAAACCTGACGCTTAGCTTCTGCAACATAAAACCAGAGACATTTAGCAAACCCATATTGCATATTCTTCACTTTAAGGGCAAGGGCCAGATTTCACTTTTCTTTTTTAATTTCTTATAATGCAGCACACATAGTGTGTGCTTGATAAATATTGATTGATTAATTGAGTTCAATTCATTTAAACAAATAACTGTTAAATACCTAAAATATGCAGAACACTCTTAATTAGTGGGGAACATATAATTTAGGTACGATAAGAGTACCCTTATATATCTTATAATAGAATAGAAGGGTATCATAGTAATACAAATAATTATTATAATAAAATAATGCCTAATTATATTTGCCATACAGATGCAAGAATAGAACCATGTGAAGTCCATAGCAGAAAAAGTCATATAGGAGTTCATTTACCTGGTGGCTTCCACCCAAAGAATAAGAATTAGATATGCTTGATAACTGAAAAAAATAAACTTATCTAATTTTTTTAAAGCAAAAAAACCAACATCATAAATACAGGTGTTAATATATGGTCCTTCTTCTAGGGGCCATTATTTATTTTATGCCTTTCTATGATCTAAGAAACATAAGCTAATAAATCATAGAAACTTGCCACTGGATGAGATCCTAAAATCAACCTCTACCTAAAAAGGGAACCCTAGGCAAAATTTTCAACAAGGGTTTATTCAACCTCTTAGTAAAGATAAACCCACTATGTCTTATATGAGCTCATTGAAGTTTGAAGCAGTTCTACTTGTTAGGAAGTTTTTCATTATTTGCAGATGAAATCTGTCTCCCTGAAATATGAGACCTCTTCCTTCTGGGATATGGCCACCAGTCTGATTCCTCTCCCACTGGACAGTCCTTCAGATCCATAAAGTCAAATATCATGTTCCCCTAAAGTCTACTCATTCCCAATTCTTTCAACCAATCCCTACATTGCATAGTTTCAAGTCATCTCACCATATTTGTCACCCTCTTCTAGGAATCCTCCAGTTAGTCAAATCTTTCCTAAAATACAGCAGTCCCAAATAACCACATTGGATCATAATTTAGAGCGGGAGGTTGGATCATTAATTTAGAGCTGGAGGTTGATACCTTAGAGAATATCTAGTCCTGTTCCTTAATCTATCAGCTGAGGAAAGTCAAAAGAAATGAATCATTTATCTAAGTTGATAGAATAAATAGCACAGCTAAGATGGAAGTTCACTTTCTCTGAGTACAAATTGATGATTTCCATTATGCCATGCTTCCTCTCAAATAATATTATGGGTGTGGTCTATCCAGTTAGGAATAAAGCATCAGTATCAACTCTCTGGTTCTGGACCCTATGTCCCCATTAATGCAGCCTAAGACAGAATTAGCTTTTTTTGGCTGCCAAATCACATGGTTGTTTCATTGCAAGCTTATGGTCTTCTCAAATCCCTGGATCTTTTGTTACGTAAGCTATTGTCTCACAAGATCTCTCCCTTCTTGTGCTTGTACAGTTTTGGGTTTGTTTGGTTTTTTTTTAACCTACATGTAGAAATTCATATTTGCCTACATTAAATTCATCTA